CGTCGGCGAAGAGGGAGGAGGAACCCGCATTTCCTGTGTTCCCACCGAAGGACGGCTCGTCTGCGAAAAGGGAGGACTTGGATCTCTGCGCGGAATTACCCAGCGCCGAATCCTCGGGAGATGTGCCAAAGAGCGACATGGAATGTCAACAGAGGGCGAACGGTCGGTATAGGGGGGTGATGGTGGATAGTGGAAGTGTTGTTGATGTCGCAGGAGGCCAAGGCAATGACGAAGCGGAGTGCGGTCGGAGGCGGGAGGGAGCGAAGGAGGCTGGCTGATAAGGGAGGAAAACAAGCTAATATAAAAATAGTTGCCAGGACTGTTAGACTGTTACAAGTGCGCAGACCGACAATTAGGAAAGGGGGAAAGATAGAAAAGGTCCTGCTCTTCTTCTTTTTCTTGAACAAAGGGAGATTGAGGTTGGAAGTTGGAGGTTTTGTTGTGGTTGCTGGAGCAAAGGTGGAGAGGGAGGAGGGAGAGGAGGGCGGTGATAAGGAAACGCGCTTGCGAAGGAGAGCCAGCCCAGCTTAAGGAGGAGGAATGGAATGGATGGAGTGATGTCGCCCTCGCCGATCCACTGCGGGAACCACCAAACCACACCAAACCACCAACTAATCCCTTCACAGCCAGTTCCGAGCTCCATCCTTGCCCACTGCACCTCAACCCCCCTCCCCGCTCATACGAACCAGCTACAGAGTACGGAGTACATACAAGGTAAAACGATCGAGGTACGTATCTCTTCACCGCAATGTTGAAATCCCACTAACAAATAAAAACTTGGAAATATCGAGCTACTCATACATTGCTCTAAGTTATATATATACACTAAAAATATAGGTTCTGGGGAATCAATGCTGAATCGCATCGCCGAGCTCTGCCCTGCAGTCGTCTCCGCGCATCAAACGCTGTCGCGTCGCTAACCTCCTCTATCTATATGCCTCCCTCGCTCGAGCTCTCGGATGACCGATCGTTGCATTCCACCTGACCTTCCCCAGGAGGCGATACAACAAAGTAGCCCTTCCGTGCCAGGATTTCCTGCCATTCCTGCTTGCCCGTCGCGAACACCAGCGACGGATTGGCATCCGATGGAAACCATCTCTCCTTCCGAGTATATGCTTTGTCACCCCCCTCAAGCGCTGCTCGACTGGCTCGGGTCTGTCGTGTGCGCTTGGCCCCCTTCCCATCACTGAAGAGAATTTCACCCAGCTGTAGCCGACGGTGTGCCAAGCGGAGATCATAGGCCATGATTCCTCGGATATACGGTCCTAGATCCTCAGCGATGGGACGCATTCCGTTTTCAAATGAAGGTGCCAAGCGGCCAGTGGGTATAGGGAAGATGTAATCCGCTCGTGTCATAGGCTCGAAGGCCGCATTGAATTCAGCACGGCCAAGACCAGCACTGGGGGGGTTATTCACTTTTTGCAGGACCCTTGCGCCATACTCCGATTCAGGATCTGGAGTCTTCTTATCCGAGGCTTTCATATTAGGAGACTGCTTGTCCTTTTGATATTCATGCGGGAAAGTCTTCTCTAGTAAAGTCTCGAAGGTGCAGCCCATGGCCGCCGGCATTGCTGTGTACTCCGGCATGATATCGGCGGAGAGCAATTGATAACCTTCCGTGTAGTTTGTCCTTTGCTTTTCCGGTAATGGAGGGATTGAGGGATCCATAGTGTCCTAAATGTGTTAGTTCGAAGATCTAGCATATGAAGAGAGAGGCTTACCAGCTTCATGTCAAGTGAGCAGCGGGAGCAGAGAAGGTCAAGGTCACTTTGTAAATCGGCAAGTTTGGACTTTTGCAATAATGTTTCTAGATGATCAGCGTTGGATATCGCATTCACCTGTTTCGTGCCCGAATGATACGAATCAGACTGCCTGACAGTGTTCATGGTCTGTGTTTCCTGCATGCTAAGCCGCCACCATGCAAGTGACTCTAGTCGAGGTTCAACCTCACTGTCTGGTCCGTGACTTTGCAGCATGTCGCGTCCAAACCAGCCCATGAATGGCTCGTATGCATTAAGACTCAGCACCCGAAGAGGGTCACCGTTCGGATCAAGGTCCAACCCCCGCGGCCAGCGATCAAGGATCCAGTCAAGGCCGGACTTCTCGCTGCCGATCGTCATCTGGCACCAGAAATCCAACTCCATGATAGATCGCCGGAGATCCCGACCTGTGCTGTCGTAGAGGCTCTCGACCGCTCCTCGTTTAAGCATGTGGCCCTCATTGGCAGCCACGAGAAGGAGATAGTCAACAGCAAGAACTTTTGGAGGAGGTCGGTAGCGAAGTATGGCATGAAAGGAGATGTCTTGGAGTGGAAGAAGTTTCTCGTTGTTGCAGGTGATGATGATTGGCCGTTTCGATTGGCTGATTAGCGTCATCACCCCGGACCAGAATCCCTTGTCTTCTTCGAAAAGGATGTCTGCCTCCTCCAGAAGAATGAAGGATTGCTTCTGGCCGCGAGAACGTTTCGTCTCTGACTCTAGTGTTGAGGACTTTGGTTCGGGTGCCGGCTTGGCCCCTGACTTGACAGTTGATGTTGACTGGAAGAACCCTTTGAGTTTATTCTGTTTCGGGTCCACTAGCTCGACACCACTTCCATCAGATGCACTGTCATCGGTGTGGTGGTGATGGACCAGATGGTTGCGTGTCATGTCACCTACACGGTCCAGGATGTCCTTGGCGCTCCGGCGATTTCCCGGGTTGATTTCGAACACCTCAAAGTCCAGCTCCTTGGCTACTGCATGAATCGATGCCGTCTTGCCACACCCCGAAGGTCCGCTTACCAAGATGACATTGGACATGCGGGTTCTCTCGGTCCCAGATTTTGAACCTAGCGCCATGTCACCAGCACGAACGACGGTCTTTTTGGTGGTCATGTCCGCAGCGAGTTCATCATCCGAGCCAGAAATTTCGTCCATCTCGGAGGCTTCCTCTTCACTGGATACAATAAAGCCGTCCAGCTTGTCCTTCTTGCGCTTCTTGCGCTTCCTCTCCTCCGTCTTCTTTTTCGCCGCATCGTCTTTGGGTGGTTTGCCTGTGTCGACCGCGGTGACCTTGAGATACTGCAGCCAATCGCGCAGCATAAAGACTTCCCTCGTGGCCTGGAGAACCTGCTCTGCAGATTGGGGAGCGTATTTTTGAGTCCAGCTAGCGGTGTCGCAAAGACCAAGGTCAAAAGCGGACATGGAACTGGTGAGCGAAGCGTGGAGTTTGGCGAGGGCAGCGTGACAAGTCTTATTCAGAGTACTCTTCTTCGTTCGTACAGATGAAGCTTGTTCGGAGAGTTGTCTGGTGACGGCGCATTGCAAGATCTTCCCACTGGCAACGTGTCTTCCAGGTATTCTCAGTATTCCTGACGCAGCGGAGGGGTTCTTGGGTAGCCGAAGTAAGAGGACATTTTCGTCGTCGGGGACATTGATCGCAGCAGCTTTGGACTTCTTCGGACCTAGGCCCCTCATGTCATTATTGAGGCTGTAGGATTCGAGATCGTCTGGTGTGCCCCTGACGTGTGTGAGGCCATGAGGTGGCCAGATTGGGTGCGCGAGTTCGGGGTATCTAGGTCGCTTAGCGAATGAACTCGGTGTTGATGATCCTAAAAAGCTTGAGCTAGATTTGAGAGGGAATCTCGGCGTCGAGTCGACTTGCTTAGTGTCTTTTCGTTGGGAGTTCGGGGGGGTTGCCTCATGAGCGTCTGTCTGAGTGTTGCAGTGATTCGCCTTTTGAGAGGACTTTTTCAGGAAGAACGGATGGGTTGCTTTAGCAGACTGCTCCTGTTTAGGTATAGAAGGTACCGCGGTCTGGTGGAGAGGCTTTGTGGCTGCGATGTGTTTCTTCCGACCACTGATAATGTCGTCTATGAGCTGGGCAAGCCTATTCTCCGAATTCGCTTCCACATTGTATTTAATGATGACAACCTTGCTCCCAAGAGGCTGAGCCTTTTGGTCAGCTGCTTTGCCGCGTTTATTCTTCCTCCCCTTTCTCGGATTGTCCTCAACCTTAGCAGACACCGGCGACGACAATAACTTCCCATTGGAATTCAATTTAATTGTCTTCTGCCTGGGCGACCTTCTCTCCCCTGACGCAATTACGACCTGAGGATTGCTGGGTGGAGGGTTTTCAATTCCCGGACTGGTCGGTGTCTTAGGCTGTGACTCCCCGGATTCAGGCTTGGTTGAGGACGGATTGACCGTAACCTGTGTCGTCTCTGCCGGGTCATCTTTGTCCGTCTTCCTTCGTTTCCTTCGTTCGGAATTTGGATCATGATCGAGCATAGCTAACGAGTGGACGCGGGATGTGTCGCAAGATTCGGAGGAATTAGGAGGGTTGTTGATTTCTGAAATAGGCCGGGCACTGTCGCCGTGAGATAGTTGGGGCTGCGCGGCAGCATCATTGACGGGGTTATGGATAATTGGGTCGGGTGCTACTCCGAAATCTGCTCACAGTCAGCCTTTGTATGAACTGAATGACGAACAGGGGAACGACCTTTGCGAAAGAAGGGGTGGATAGCCCTCTGTTCGCCATGTCCAGTGGCCATCAATTGAGAGACTCCAGATGATGAGCAGAAGCTCATCACCTGAAAGGAGGTTGTAGGAGAGATAACGGAGAGAACATGTAAAAGAAGGACATGAATTGCGCGGAGACGGCTTCCGAAATAACTTTCAGATCATGATGTAGACAAGGAGAGTCAAGGTGAAAGTGAGAGATGTTCGATGTTCTGGTGCGGTTGTAGTGATAAGCGGGCGGGCACCAAAAGACGCGCTGCGCGTGTTTCCGCGCCTTCAATTAAGGGCGGGATGAAAAGGCCGCCCGAGAGGGACTCGGCCTGCGGCCTGAGGCCTGAGGCTTTCTTGCACTGCCCGGACGTCATTCCCGCCTAAGCCGCTTTGGGTATCGGCACCGGGACCCGGAGCAACCATAAGCCCGGAAATTTTTCGGGGAGGCATACAGATCCATTTTCTTTCTGTGGAGGCTGACGCCGCAGTTTCATAGCGACAACGGTCGCAGTTTTGTCGCATACTCTGATCTCAACTGTCGCTACCATGGATTTGCAACCGCCGTCGGTGCTGGCTCAGTTGCCTCGCCCGTTGCACGCCTCAACCGGCAAAACCCACATCGGCGATGTCTTCAGTCTGGCCGAGTCGAAAAAGCGAAAGAGACATGAAGTCGTCGTTGCGGCAGATGGTGAAGCCGTGAACATTTACAACGTATGTTGTCACTTTTCAATCAATCGCATAAGGATTTCCATGCTGACGATTTTGCCTCTGGATAGATTCAAACCCCCAAATTGGTGACCTCCTACGCCGTCCCGCCGCAATCATCCTTCACTTGCCAGCCCTGCTCGGTGCGCAGAAAGATCCCCAGCAAATCCGTGGTCAGGAGACAGACGTACATCGCCTTGAAACAGCAGATCAAGGCATTCGTTGAAGAAAGTGGTGGCAATGGCTCCAGCGCCCCGGTGATTTCCTCCTCGTCCTACTCCGTCAGCGATTCAGATAGCCCAGTCAACTTCGTGGGGATTGTCCCCGGCCCTTCGACTGAGCAAGAACCTGAAGGCTCGTTCGACATTCTCGCCGTTCACCAAGATGGTCGCGTCCGCCGACTCTCTCCCGATCTCAAGACCCAGCGATGGAGCATGGAACACAGCGAGGTGGCCAAGATCAGCTCGACACACAGCGTCAACGCCTGTTTCCTTGTTGAATTCGAGGATGCGAAGAAATCTCTGCTCAAGCGCCGGCAAGACCTTACAGCTTTGGCGCTCGGCAGCCTCACCGATAGCGGCGTGGATGAGCCTTCGATTCTGTTGGTCGTCTCGCACCCCAATGGATCCGATCCGGTCAAACTCAGCGACGTCAAAGTCCAGATGTTCTCCGTGCCCTCCGACGCTACCCTTCTAGAGCGCAGCATCGATGAAAGCCAGAAGATGAGACACCTGCTCACGATCAGCATCCCCGAGGTCAGCGGACAGGAGACCATTGAGCGCCAGGGCTCGCAGTGGTACTTCCACTCCGGATCGGCTGGACTGAACCTCTCGTTCCCACACGGACATATCAACTTCGATCTCTCCCAGTACGCCCCCACGCTGACGTCGAAGTTCATCCTCGAAAATGAGACCTTCTCGTCAATCATGCGCATCTCGCCCCAATCCGTGATCGGTGCTGGTCAATCGATGATTGCCGTCTACGACACCCAATACCAGTCCATCCAGCGGAGTATCGCCGTTAGCGACGTCCCGGCGAGTGGCTCATCCAGCGTCAAGGCACCCACGACCTTCGTCAGTTACTTTGCCCGATTGGGGGTCGCCCTCGCCACGAAGAACAACACTCTACTGGCGTTCGACTTGAGCTCCTCGAGTCTCGCCGGCGGGCCCCTCAAACGCCCTCGCGACGGCCTCTTGATCGACGCCATCGGCCGCGGTATCGGGCCCTCATACGCCCAGTCCGACCTTAGCTCGAAGAAGCTGCGAACCGAGGATGCCGCCGTCTTTGGGCTGACTGCCAAGCAGACCGTGCGGTGGACGCAGCTGACCAACGATCTCCGCGAGTGCGTCAAGAGCAACAATGCCAGCGCCTTCGACACGGCAGTGCAGCGGTTCTTCGGCGCCGGAGAGTCCAAGACCCTCCCGGGGCCCGGAAAGTTCGTCAACTCGGAGCTGACGCTCTTCCTCCTGACCCTGATCTTCTCCCTGAAGGAGGAGAACAACACCCAAACCAGCAAGGACACGCTCTCCGCGCCTACCGCCTCCCGCCTCTCGATAGCCATCTGGCCCGAACGCACCTGCCAATGGCTCATCAACATCGGCCACCTTTCGCAGGCCAACGTCGAGATCGCCCTGCGCCGCAGCATCAAGCCGCGCATCCTGCAACCGCTGCCCGTGGGCTCCTTCGTGCAGGGGCTGGTCGACTCGGACCCGACGCTGCAAAGACTCAACAGCGTGCTGTCCGGCCGGGTGGTGCTCTCGACCAACGAGCTCGCCTACGCCCTGCGCCTGTTCCTCGACAAGGCGCGCTCCAGCGCCATCATCCTCGAGGAGGCGCGCGCCAAGCTCCTCACCTCCGGCGAAACGCAGCCCGATCACGATGAGGAGATGTCCGACTCCCCGGCCGACCCCTCCACAAACTCAGACTCCAACGCCCTCGTCACGACGACAACAACAACTACTCCAACGGAGCCCGCCACCCTCCACAACATCTACAAGGGCCTCAACACGACCCTGCACATACTCCACACCCACCCGCCCGCCACCCTCACGACTGCCCTCCGCTCCGCCCTCACCCGCTCCGAACTGATCTCCATGGTCCACCACCTCCGCCTCTGCCTCGCCACCAGCGGCCACACCACCCGCTTCACCGAGAACCCGCCGACCCCGATCTCGCCGGACCAGACCAACCCCGCCCTGCCCCTCGACACCATCACCACCTGCCTGAACGCCGCCATCGACGCCATCGGCCCCTCGGGCTGGATCGCCGCCGCCGCCTCCCCCGGGGAACCCTTGGCCGAAAACAGCCAGGAGCTGATCGCCGACATCAAGTCTGAGATCTCCGCCGCCCTCGCCGGCGTCGAGGAGGCCACCTATCTCACCGGCATTCTCCGGGAGTACCTCCGCTACACGAATAGCGTCAAGGCCACCACCGCTGCCGTCACCACCACCGCCGTTGCTGAGACGGCAGTCATCCCCGCGACCGAGCAGCCCGTCACCCCCGCCAATGTCCGGTACGAGAAACTCAACGGCGCCGACCTGGTCATCTTCGGTGCCGGCGACGGCGAGGAAGGCGGCGCCGGCGGCGAGGCCGCCGGTGGGAAGCTGTTGCCCCTGTCGCTCAAGGCCGCCGCCCACGACGTCAGCAAGACCAAGGTCAAGAAGGAGACGGGCGAGGTCAAGGCCCGCAGTAGTCGAGAGATCGGGTACCTGCGGCGGAAGGCCGTGGGGAAGTATTCTTTCGAGAGGCTGTTTGTATAGTTACGTACCAAAAGATTCAAAGTGGAATGGGGGACAACGACGAGGAGAGAGAAGAGAGATTGTATGCGGACACACATACTTTACTTACATTTATTACTGGATGGATAGAAAAAGTGACGTCTTGGTTGTGCATTATCATCTTTTGCGTTAGGTTGCGGGGCTGTAGTAGAGTGTAGTTTGTTCAGTTGTCTCGTCTGTCCTCTCGACTGCAGATGGTCTATGCCAATGGGCTTTGACTGGTAGTTCAGCTGCTGATGGCAAATTATAATAACTTCCTACTACTGCAAGCCACTCATTCGTCCCCGAACTACACTCTGCATCTGCTACCCCCTACACTCAAAAACTTCAACCATGTCCGGTCATCGCACATTGTATTCGCATATGTACAGGTTGTATCTCAAGTGTATATGTGCACAGCTATCAAAAGGGTCCGGCTTATGCCACCCGTCATGTCAGTCTCACATCGTACTGCTGATCCAGGGTATCGTGACAATTCCAGCATTTCGGTCGTTAGGCCCACAGTTTCTCTCATGCCCCGCCAAGTCCTGCCTGTCCAAAATCAACAATAAAAATAAACATCAAACATCGTAGATCGAACCTTCGTTCACAAATACATAAAAATCAACTCTCGATATCAAGTACAGAACGCACAAAATAATCATATAAAATCACAGTGGGGCACTTGCGTGATAGCGTCAACGTAACGAAGGGTGCACCCGTGATGGCATAGCGCACCAGCCCCTCCAGTCTGGCAGCATCGCTGGGTTCTCACCAGCCAAGGCACAGGGTAACTTTTGTAGGGGGATTCTTCAAGAGTCTTCCAGAAGGATCAGGATTGTATAAATAGGCCCGAAAGACGCACCAATTCATGGTTATATCGTCCAGCAAAACCACTCTAGGAATAAAACGATGGCAGACCGGTAGCACTGCATCGTCGGTCGTGTGATTTGTCCGCAAGCAGAAAGAATATTATAGCACGCACGAGTTTGAGGCAGAGGCATCGAGGCTAGTTCCCCCCGAGAGTTGAGTTGTGCGCTCGTTCCTTCAGCCGCAGAGCTTGCGCTTCAAGGGATCGAGCCATGATCTTGATCATCGGCCAGACAGCGGCCCGGTCGAGAAGACTGGCTGTAGCAACCAGGATCTTGCAGCCGTAGCCGCCCTCCACAACACTGGGCAGGCGCTGGAGAACGCTGAGAGCCGACGTGGTGACGCTGCTTTGCACCTCTCTCTGCATCTTATTTTCGATGTTTCCCAGAATCTCCTTGATCTTCTCTATGAGTTTGCAATCTTCGTCTTCCAGCAACAGGAGATTGGCGGCCTGGGCCAGATCCACTTCGTCACGGCCAAGAACACCAAGATACGGGCCGACACGTTCCTGGACCGTCGTAATCCACTCAGCGATCACCTGAGCGCAATCAAAAGTGCACATCGCGCATTGAATGGGTAGTTCTCGACAGGTGAACTCTGCAAAGGTGTTTCCCAGTTGGTCAGACATGCTAATTGAGTCTGCTGCATAGAATGCAGCTCGGCGCAAATGCCTTTCCCGTTTCGACTGGCCTGATCGATACACTCCCATCAAGGTTTGCATAGGTTGCTCCTGCGTCGAAGTGGTTGAGATGGCAAGGTCCGCAACGCCCAGGTCGGCGATCGAATCGCGACGGTGGTCCATTTGGGCCGACGCTTCCGTGATCGAAGGATCCAGTACCTCCGACGGGACATCGTCCAAAGGATGGACTAGCTCAATTCCGCGAGCAAGCTCATCAGACATAGCATTCCAGTCGCGTTGCCAGAATGCCTCCTTGCATCGGCCGAGGTTGACAAACAGCCTTACATAGGCAAGATCCAGCAGCGGGATGCTGTCGGCTGACAGAGGCCCGGCACCGAAAGGATTCGGACGTTCCAGACTGTGGACAGGGTTGCTGGCCCAAGCAGTCTGCCAAGCACGTAAGGCGGGCTCGATATGCGCCTGCATGGCCTCTGTTTCGCGAGATGTCCATTGCCGGCCTAGATGCCGTTGTCGAGTCTCCCAAATGTAATTATGCAGCGCATAGATGAGGACTAGACAGCCAAATGTACTAGGTTGCAGGGTAGATGCAGAGGAGCTTTGAGAAGACTCATCACCGGGCGACTGTGCTTGATTCGATGGGGTCGATTGCCGCTCGCGTTGACTGGCAGTCAACAGATTTGTCAAGGCAGAAGGGAAGGGAGTAGCGCTCTTGGTCGACGAGTAGCCGCCCAGTTTCTTCCACTCCTGGGGTGATTCCGCAGCCCACAAATCCTCCTCGCAAGGCAAGTTCAGACGGATTTCGGAGTTGGTGAGAGCGGGGGCGTGGTTATAGGCGGAAACTAAAAAGCAGGACAGACAGAATATCGCATAGAGAGTACGCTTGCGTTCTTCCACAATCTTCCAGTCGAGCCAATCCTTTTTCTCTTTCGGCCGCCCAGAGGATGACTGGTTCTGGGTCTCAAACTCAGCGCCATTCGGGTTACTGAGACCGGCTGACCGATGGTCTTGTGGAAGATCCTTGGCATCCACGTGATGGGTGAGCTCAGCCGCCCGAGCAAGGCTGACAAGCGCTGCACAATGTGTGCTTGCGATGTCAGCCGAAGTCTTGTCGCCACACGTATGGCCGTAGATGACATTCAACAGCATCGCTTGAACCAGCCATAGCGGAGTATTTTGCACGGAGCTATCGCGCGCGTGGCTGGCTCGCCCGAATGCGGCTGACATGTCCACCTTACGACGTTCCTCAAGATAGAGTTGAATCATTTTCTTGGCAGCCTCGAAGAGATCTTTCGATGCAGCGGTGTCAAACTCGTAAAGTGCTCCAATGGCGGCCATGGACAAAATCAACGAGCCGCCACCGCCAGAGACACCGGTCGAGCACAGATTCAAATGTCCACTGGGAGTTCGGAGATTATTGGTGTATTCGGGAGCCTGGAAATCAAGCGTGGGAATGTGGAGGAATGGCATGTGCGGGTGGAAGTAGGTAATGTAGGCGGAAATATAACGCTGCATGTCCAAAGTGCTGGGCAGCGGGCCGGAGCTGCTGAGGCTGGAAGGGCGAGAGAAGAGATCACGATATTGTACCATGCTGCTAGCAGGTTGAGAGTATTTGCGATGAATCAGACCGGTCGGATGGGCCATGCTGGCTAATAAAGCCTGTCGGGTGGAGTCTGTAAAGGTATCCGAGGAGGTTGGGGCATGGTGAGATCGTAGGGCACTATTCGCGAAAGGCAAGTTGAGAGGATTAGGAGATTCTCCGTTGGTTGCCATAGAGGATGGGAACATACTCTGCGAGTGTCCTCCCATGATGGGCTGGCCCACTGAAGTCATGGACGGAGGGGTGGCATACGTCTCTGCGAACGGATTCTGCGCCAGCAAGGACTTGGGAGAAACGGTCTCTGGAGGGATTCCTAGATCGTTAAAACTAGCCGGGTAGTCAAGAGAGTACTGGTTCGCAGAAGCGGCAGTCGTGTGGGGCGGGAACGGATTGTGCCAGCTTGCGGACGAGATGGAGTAGCGGTTCGACCCGTCCATCATGGCCTCGCTGATACCGCTCTGACTTCCGGTGCTCATGGCCGACGGAGATGACTCGTCGATGGCGGAATCGTTGCTCTTACGCATCTGCATCGACGGGTCGTAGCCGTTTATCCAATCGAAGTGGAAATCATCCTCCATCATGGGATCCGTGGGGGGCATGTGGTGAACCGCATGCGTGTAGGGCGATGAGGGTGAGTCGTTGCCGTACGCTTGAGGTGAGCCGCCAAAGTGGAGCTGGGCGGGGTTGATGGTGGTATTATAGCTCATTGCCAGGTCTGGGACGCTGAGGTCAAAGGTTCCATAGACGGGAGCCGTCCGCAGTCCCCCAGACAGGTCAATCGGCAAGCCCGACGTATCCAGCTTGGTGAGTCCGTTCACCGGGGGATGATGTCCTCCTGCAGAGAATCCACGGAAATCCATGTTAGATCCCACCGAAGCAGAACCAATGCTCGGGTGATAAGCATGGGCCGGGTGACCGGAGCCAGCGGTCGGAGGGTTGGTTGCACCGACTAAACCCAGCGAAGCACCGTCAATATGACTGATGGTATTGGCACGAGGACGCATCGTGCTGGGATTGCTGACGATGGAGTTCTTCCGAACTCGGTTCGACGTTCCCGTCCCCGCGGTGCCGGTGCTCTCCCTGCGCGCATTCCGTGGACGTGACGATGGGGTGGTTGTCATATGCAGCTTCTGCTGGTGTCTCAGAAGCAGATCGCGACGAGCAAAGCAACGAGCGCATTCGGGGCACTCGAAGGGCTTCTCTTTAGTGTGCGACCGCTCATGGCGCTTGAGATGCTCCAATCGCGCAAAAGAGCGACCGCAAGTGGTACAACCGTGTGGACGTGGCTTGTCAGTCTTCGGAGGAGGAACGGACCCGGCAGCACTGTTCGCACCATTGGCGTCCTTCTTGGTGCTGGCTTTGGAGGGTGCTGGTCTTGTTAGGGATCAAGAGAGCCATGAGCGAGACCTGTAACTGCAGTCACTCACCCGATAGGTCACCCGGGACCTCGCTGATGCTGTCCATTTTGGGGCTCGTGGCCGGATCTTGGCCTACCATTGAGGCGAGTAGCATCCTATATCACCTGATATTCTTGTGTTCACCAGTGCAGTCACTGGTTTCGGAGGGAGGCTTTGATGCAGGAGTAGGCCTCTTGAATGATGGAGGGACGAGAGCGGGTGAGAGGGGTGGCGGCGATAAATGTATCGAATATCGAGGCGATAGGGAAGGGATCACAGAACAGGGGAATGAGCAAAACCCGACATTGACCGCATGCTGATTCAACGGGAATTGAGGTTAGTTTTGGACCATCATTTGCTCGGAATTGACGAGGCAGGAAATAAAGTGCGGGCAACCAACGGAACTCACCAGAAGACAGGAGGAACCCAGTAACTCTAAGTCAAGTACAAGTAGACAATTAGGGAAGGAAGGATGTCAGGATGACAGAAAATGAGGTGATCGAGAGGACGGAGAGAACGGAGAGGACGGAGAGAAGAATTGGAGGGATATTGTGAGGTGAAATAGTACAAAGAATAGCGAGACGAGGTAGGAAGGTGGGTAGGGGAAGGTGGCAA